TTCTGTAGTTTTTTGAGGATTAAAATTTCCCACAAATGCATAAACATCCGCAGTCTAGTCATAACTCCTGAACGGATTGGAGGATTTTAATTTTTCAAAATGCATCCAACGCGTATTTTGGTGAAGAATATGTGGCAATTTCAAAAATATTCGAAAAGCTATTCCTTGACTGCGCGAAATGTGAAAAACCTCACAAAATTGGTCCAATTTTAAAAAAGCCATAACTCCTACAATAGTGAATATATGTGTATTTCAATGAAACATTTTTCTGAAGCAAAGCTCATGGGTGCCTACAAAAAAGTATTAGACAACTTTTCTGTAGGCCGTCAAACAAATTTACTAAACATGAGAAACGAATTTTTAAGAAAAATCGACAAGCGGTAGGTGCCTAAAGGGTCTAGCCAAATAAGCATGGTAAAAGTGCCCCCAAACCCCTTTTGACAAAATGTTGGCAATGTCGCGGATGCTTTACCAAAATGATCAGCGCCGCGCCGTGGCGGTTCTAATCAACAGGAGTTTGGTACCACATGTATTTGAAACTACATATAGCAACCAGTTAACTAAGTATGTATAAACAAATATATTTTAACTATATCGATTTTAAAAGCATGTGCGGCCCTTTTCCGTATGAAAAATTAGAAAACATGAATTAATAATTCTTTAACAATTTTTCCAAAAAATCTAAAAAAATTACGCAATAATAGTCATAATGTTGCGCTATAGCTGTAAAAATATGAGCATTATCACGTAAGTAATTAAGGCAATATAAAGCTTTTTCATCATTTTTAAATCATTTTTTATTTTTTTTAATTACGTTCCACTCCTTCGAAAAATCTGAAAAAATTAGAGACTAGTAATTCGTTTGAGAGCTGTATACTGTATAAAAACAAACGTGATCACTTGATAACTTCGACAAAAAATCGCCGGTTAAAATATTTTCGAATTTTTTAAAAATCGAATTTGCATCCAAAAATTCTGAAAACATTTTTGAATATGTACATCAGTCGATAGAATAACCATGATTTGTTCCATAATTTTTAATTGAGCAGAACGGGAGATATTTAGGATAAACAAAAAAATGATCTTCACCCCGTAATTACCCCTGTAGTAGAGATACCGGGTTGAAACTCTGTGAAAAGGGGTTTTTTCGAACCAGCTATCGAGTGGTATTAAACACGTTCAATTTGGTTTGGGGGCACATTTACCATGCTTATTCGGCTAGACCCTTTTTCGATGAAATTAACAAATTTCAAATCGTTCTGGAAAAATTATTTTCGATTGCGGGAGTTAAGTACAATAATTTTTGGTGAATACATGTACCTCCGAATTCCCACGTACTTTCGAGAAAAAATTCATTACCGAAAATATACTGTATCGGCGGAAATGTTGCTATAACTTTTTAACGAAGCCTCAATCAACAAATTAGTATGCTTGCTTTTCATCCTATTTTGGTCTCTAGAATCTCCCATTACAATTTTTCCCATGGGTGCCCGAACACCCTGTATATTTATGAATATTCATCGACACTAACATTAAACAGAAAGAGCATACGTAAAAAATGTTTCTATAAGAAAACTTCGTGCAAGTAGCCCTTTTATTTTATCACAATAGTGTGTAGCGTTCTAAAAACTCCAAAAATCATGGGAAAAAGTTAAAGGAAGCGGGAAACCTCGTGTTACTTCGAATTCTAAGAGAACTGCAATACAGATCGAGGAATAAACGTGAGTGCAAATAAGTGTAAGAAACTTGTACATCGTATTTTATATAAATGGAAACATAAAACACAAGAATCTAAAGCAACGGCTTCCTTTAACGGTCTAATATTTTTGTCCAGTACGTTCATATTTCAAGTTTGACCATTTAACCCGGTAGAACGTAGTGCGCCGCATTGAATCTTCTGAAACCGAAATTTAAAAGTCCAGAGGCTCGAATTATTTGGCGTATTGCATTAAAGATGAGAGAGTATTTATTTTGGGGAAAATCAAAGGGCTGTGACACGTAAGGAGCAAGAAGTGGCAAGTGCTATTCTTAAACATCTGTCGGTTTTAACAGTCACATTGACTAAAAGACGTATTGGCTCATAGGAAATTCCGATGCACTCTCATTTCTCGATTTACTTTCTGCTTCAAGCAGTATTTTCTCTCCTCCCCACCTTCGTACCAACTCTTCCTAAAGTTGGTGTATCAAGCAAAGAATTCAATACGTTTCGCTTTATTTTTCCACGGATACACCCTCATAAATCTTTGTACTGCAGAAACGGTTTACTCTGGCTACGCGAATTTCACTCGAAAATGGCCGCCATTGTTTCCACAGGCAATAGCAAATATCGATATTGCCTCAAGGGTGTCTTCGTTGTTCGAACGTTTTCTTTTCAAGCGCTTTATTATCGAAACACTGATTCGTATATTGATACAGGATTTTTCTTTGTACATTTTATTTATGCAATAAACGGGAAGCCCCATTAGTGTACAAAGTAGTAGAACATGATAACCAAGATAAGGTTACGAAGGTAATTTAAAAAAAATGTTACAATTATATGTATATAAGTTACATATTTTATATTATATAAAAGTATAATTATATTTAATTTCATATAATATTGAAACTGATTGACATTTGGCATGTTATTTTTGCTTTTAATAAAATTGAGTTGAATGTTTCTATTCTTCACGTATTCATTTTATACTGGCCTGAGTGTTATAACATTTAATCTGCCAATAAACGGTTGTTATTATTAATAAGTTTATTTTGTAGATTATTTAAACAGGGTCCAATACAGGGTCAAACACGTCAAAACTGTTATTGCATTTACAAAATGATATTTATATGAATAGGTATAACAACATAATTTGAATTTGTTATTTAGATAAAAACATCTGTTTAAGTGCCAACAGATACACTTAGCCTAACATTGGTAACATTATTATTATTGGGCATTACTTTGCTTTCACATTTAGTAAATTATTTGCAAAGATAAATATATAATTTGTCATGAGGCGAATTTCAAGAAACGAATATTCTCAGCTGCTTAGTTTGTAGAGTTTGAATTTTTCAAGGAATTTAACAGATCCCAACCATCAGGAATCCGTGTCCAACTTTGTAAATGCCAACCGAGTTTCCAGCAACGTCCTACTTTCCGTCGACTCGAAATTTAGAAGTAGGTTATCCATGATTCTGAAACTTTCGTGTTTAGGTAAATCCATGAAACGATACGTCGATTTAAAGAAAACTGAATTCGACAATGACGCTATTGTTTGCTTTAAAAATCCCCGATAGAGCAATTTTCAAACACGACAAACAAATTGAGTGCAGAAAACGACAGTGAGATTTGGAATAAGCTACACAAAAAGAGCTCGTAGTCTCTTTAGAGAAGAAACAGACCCAATTTACAGTAGTGTTCAAAGTATTTATTTTCAAAATTATTAACTCATCAAAGTCTAATGTTACGTATCGATAGTTGAATCAAGAGCATTTCAGAAAATGAAAATTAATTCCGTTTTCAATTATTCCATTTAAGCTAGAAACAATAGACACTAAAAAATTTTACGGCGTACGTTAAAATTAATATATCAACTTTTACAAAAGTTTCAGTTACACGAATTTGTGAAAACGGGCGAAAATGTGCTTTGAATTTTATGGCCAACGTTCGGAGCAAATATCTCGTGACAAATAAAGAGCTTTTGTGAAAAAGAAAAAATGTTGAATTTGTCAGCGTGTCGAGTATCAAGAGCGTAAAAATACGAATCCCCTACAACGTGGGTGCTTGGAAAGGACTGATTTTTGTTCGTTTCAATTTGCTTTCACCTCCGCCGCTGCGTATGCGTTCACGCGATTTCGAAAATAAATTCAACTTGAAAATATTTCTTTCGTGGACTTTATTCGAATAAAAGCGAGCAACGATGTAAATGCTTAATCTTAGTATTTTATTACTTTTAGGTACGATAATTTCGAAGTCGTTATGGAAGTTAAATTAGATGCTTAAAAAAAATTCAATTTTCGCTATTAATTCTGTTTTAAGTGTAAAGTTATATTTTTGATGTTCTTAAAATCGATAAAAAAGATACGCCTCGGTTTTAAAATAATAGATAAAGTAAGCTGCTAATGTTTAGTAACCACTTTAATAATTTTGTATAATTTTCTTTGTTAACATTTTTGTTCGTATCATCGAAAAGGACTCGGAACATCAAGTTGAAATGTAAATGTGCTTACTCAGGATTGAAGATCGAGAACATTTTTAATATCATTGTTTTCAAATTTTTTAAATAAAATTCGAAATACGCTGCACTTTACTGTTTCGCGATAATGGACTGAAAACATGACAGCGTTTCTATACCAGGATAATATTTGTCTACTTCGGTTGCTTTTCCCGAAAAGTCCAATTATAGTAATACTCTCTAAAATCAGTTAGCAAACACGTGGTTCATCTCCTCATAGACCCAACCCGTGAAGTCGAAGTGGGTCAATAAGTGTTCCGGGGGCGAGCAACGAAATTACAAATTCCCGTTATAGTCTCGTGTAAGTTGCAAATGTTAATAAAGATTTCTGATTGTTCGCGTATTTCAGCGGACATAATCGTTCCAAGCGAAACGAGAATATCTCGTTTAACGCCAGGTCTGCACGCGTTCCATTATTACTCGTGGTACCTGACCACAGTGAATAAACCACTGTAAACGAGCAATTAACTTAGTCTTGCTCAAATACATATGTGGCTGCATTTTCGCAAGTTAAACGCCTCGTAATGAGCACAGCATTCTTAAACGGTCTGAAAATATGAAATTCGGACGAAAGTAATGTTCGTAATTGTCCATGTCGAGGTGAAATAAAGTGTGTTCTTTTGTGTCTTATTGTGAGCGACGACTGTCAAATGATTTTGAGTCGAGAGAACGAAATTTGAATAATATAACTACTACAAACAACTATTTATTATTTTTATTTGGTGGCTTATTTACGCCGCATCCACTGCGAGGTTATTAGCGACGTCGGTCAGGTGGTTTTTTTCCTTATATTTTGTCAATTAATTTTGTTTCTTTGATGAATCCCAGTAGGTTGTGTAGCTTTCTGTTGGTGAGGTTTTCTTTAAGTTGAGGTTCCAGCTTGTGTTTACGGCGAAGAATATTGTGTTTTTGGCAGTCAAGGATTAGGTGGTCCGTTGTAATTGTTGTGTTGCAGTGTTCGCATATTGGGATGGGTTCCTTTGATAATATGTATGAGTGGGAGATTTTGGAGTGTCCAATTCTTATTCGGGTTATAGCAGTTTGCTCTTTTCTAAGTAAAGTAGTTGCTGTGTTTTCTGTAAAAAAGGCGTCATCTATGTTTTTGATGTGTGGTGGAGCTGTGTTTCTCCACTCAGATTCCCACTGGCATTTTAACTTGTTTCTGATTTCTTTGATTAAATCCTCTTGGGTGGGAATATTTTGGTAGTTAATTGGTGAGTTGGCTACTTGTTTTGCTATCTGGTCGGCTTTTTCATTTCCTGGAATGCCTACGTGTCCCGGTATCCATACGAGTATTATTTTGTGGCCCTTTTCTATGATTTCATGGTTTGTTTCCTGAATTTGGAGGAGGATGTCATTATCCGATGGTATGCTGCTTAGTGCCTCTAAAGTGCTCATTGAATCAGTGAAAATAATAGTGTATGTATAAGAGTTTATGTAAGAGATTTTTATAGCATGGTTGATGGCAGTTGCTTCAGCCGTAAAAATTGATGTATATGGTGCTAATTTGGTTGAAAGTGAGGATTCCGGGGTGATTACTGCGTATCCCGTGCCGGTTTCAGTTTTTGATCCGTCAGTATAGATATGGATATAGTTTCTGTAGCAATCTATAGTTTCAGTAGTTAGGTTACGAAATATTACAGGATTGGTGTCAGATTTTTTGTATACTGTTAAGTCTATGTTTACTTCGATGGGGTGCATGACCCATGGTGGTATTGTGGTTTTTCTTCGTGGAATAGTAGGGAAAAATGTTATATTGAGTTCCTCTTTAAGTTTGTGGACTCTATAATAAAAAGGTTTGGGAGTCAGTTTTTTATTATTGTATTTTGTGATGTAGCGGTCTGAAAAGGTATTTTAAAGGAGGATTTATTTGGGGTAGTAGATATTTTTATCGCTTGTGTAATGCAGAGGAGTTTTCTTCTGAGTTTGAGCGGAGGTTCGTTTGCTTCTTTTAAAATGCTTAGTATGGGACTAATTCTAAAGGCTCCAGTTATTATTCTCAGGGCGGTGTTATGTATAGGATCCAGTTTTTTTTAGTGTAGATTCCTTTCCTGAGCCATAAATAATAGATCCGTAGTCTAATTTGCTTCTGATGGTAGTTTTGTACGTGTTTAATAGAACCGTCATGTCTGCTCTCCACGTATTGGCTGCTAGTGTTTTTAAAATGTTTAGACGGTTGTTACATTCCCTTTTTAGATTAGATATATGGACATTCCAGGTTAGTTTATCATCAATTTTCGAAAGGAAAACGTAATAATGGGAGAATCGTATCTCGAGTGTCGTGTTAATTTTAAAACTTAAACTAAAAGAGAACTGTGAGAAATATTAAGATATTTCACTTATTATAAACACGATCAAATTACATTTTAGTGACAATTTGCCAAAAAAATAAAACTTTTAATAATCCTTCATCAGAAAAACTATTCTTCTCCTTCAAGATACCCCTTTTGTTTTTAATTCAAAGTACTATTTTTTGTTATGAATTAACATAGTCAACTAAAAATTACTGTTCAATGAAGTAAAAAATACTGTTAAAATTCTTTATGATTTTTAAGGAATATCTTATGAATCCCCAGTGATTTTGCATATTTATAAATCAGAATATTTGCAATACATTTTCTCGTCTGTAATTATGCAAGATACTTCGTCCTACTAAAAATAAGCAAATGTAGATTATATTTATATGTACAAATTCAATCTTGTTGAAGATTTTGAAAGTTGAATCTTTGGACAGAGGTAGAAATTACAAGGAACAAGATCTGGCGAATAGGGTAGATGTTCAAGCACAGTGATGTTTTCGTTCGCCAAAAACTGTTTCACAGATAACGATTGCGAACTGGAGCATTGCCCTGGTGTAAAAACCACCTGTTTCTTCAACTTCAATACTCCTGATTTACTGTCTGGCCATTGCAAAGTGTTTGGTTTATATTAATAAATGTTGGGGTGTTGAATAATTCCACTTGCACACATAACTTAATATGTTTGGTTATCACACATAATACAGATATGTATACAGGGTGAGTCACTTAACGTTTGCACCTGAAATATCTTTGTTATTTTTAAAGATAAAAAAAATTGAATGGTACAATGGGTCTCGCGCGATGCCAAAAATATTTTTATTTATATGTCATTTTTTTTAAAGAAATCAAGGTCACCTTCATTTTTTTAAATGGGATCACCCTTTTTGAAACACCTACAATTATAGTCCCTTCCATTAGGAATTCAGTGACTATAATTATTCAAGGTCATGATCGGGGAAAATGTGTAAGATTTAAAATATGAAAGCAGAATACCTGTATTTTATAAGTGTTCAAAATGATGGCCATTTACGTCGACACATTGCTGTAAATGGGCCTAATAACAAAGGAAAATGATCGAAAATGTCCAAACTGTAACGTAAATCTCAAAATGAAACATATTATATATGAATGCAGTGATTTTTATTATAGTAGAGGAAAACATAAAATTAAAAATAACATGAACGAGGTAATGAAAACATCGATTGAAAATATAATGAAACTTATCAGTTTTTTAAAGGACATTAATGTATATAACATGATCTAAAATAAGACTATGAAAGTTGTCGATGGACACTCATTAGCGTAGCTGTTAATACATATTATTAAAACTTAATTGTTTTATAGAAAATATTCAAACTTTTCTTTTGATTAGAAAAGGATTATTTTTTAATATCACATTTATGATTCAATAGTTGAATAAAAATGCCACTGAAATGTTCACAATAACTTAGCAAATCTGTGGATGAATCTGTGGATCAACAAAAATTTTATAGACCTTTGTTTATTGTAAAAAAATGTCAACAAAAAATGCATACATATTTTTAGAAATGTTAAGAACAAATTTCATTAAAAATGAATTGTTCATTTATATTTTCTGTGGAAATATTAACCAAAGTCTTGAATGTGGATGAAAATACAGGACTAATAATTATTCGTAAACTTTTAATTTTGTAACAAAGGCCTGCCTATATTGATAACGTCTCCAGATATACTGATGATAATTATGTTTACATTCCCTGGATTACCTTGTAATTACTGCACATAGAATGTTATAAAACAGGAACTGTACGAATACTTATTACTAGGCTGCGGATCTTTATGCAAATTCATATTATTATTAGAATTAATGAAATGGGAGCTTTGTAGAGGGTTATTTCAACCCCTGAATATAATAATTTGTATCTTACTTTAAGTATTTCTTATATTTTTGCATATTAAATGCACTTTGTAGTTTTTTTAGAATTAATCCCATAAATGCATAAACATCCGCAGTCTATTTATTACACATACATATTCGACCACATTCAAGACTTTTGTTAATATTTTTAATATAAATAAACAATTTATTTTCAATGAAATTCTTTCTTAAGATTTCGTAGAATACGTATGCATAGTACATCGGTACTTTAATGAATTTGGAAATGTAGTAAAATAAACACGATTAACCCGAAATAAAGTTTCACGCGAACTCGATACACAGGATGGAACATATACCGCGTAAGGTGACAATATTATTATCTTAATACAAAATGACGTTTCTCTAAATTCGAAATGCTACGAGAACTTATCCCAATGTACATTGGCAAGGGTTGAGTCTTGTGAAAGGTTTATGCGAACACGGCCCTCACAACGCCGTGCTAAAGCGCACCCTCGTAATCACCAGACTGCAGCTACGCAGAACAAAGGAGACCGGATCTACACGTCGCACGTAGCAACATCCTAAATAGAGACGCAGCTTCCATTCCTGCTTTGCAGCATCGAGTCACTTCGGCGACATTCTCTGCAACTTGAGTATACGTCATCCGAAGCCGTATCAAGAGTTTGCAACACGAAACAAGAACGCGATTAACTATTTAATAAACCGACCTTACTTCGCGCAAAAATGTCAGAGGGAGAGTCAAGGGGAGGGGGAGGTTTTAACCCTCAAGCACACAATTGGGTCTGTAAAACCCGAGGCTTTCGGAAAATGCGTGATATACACTCCCAGCCATAAAGATAGCACATGTGTGCTATCTTTAATTTCTCACTGACACACGTACAATTTTGGGTTTGTAACGTATAATATAGTAAGCTTACGAGCTCAGAACATGCGGATCGTTGCAAAGAGGTCGCGGCATCACGGCGTTTTGTTTACAAAACAGAAACAGTGTTGTATTCTAGGAACGAAATGATAGCACACTCCGTCTACATGTTTATAAACTGCTTAGTATTTCGCGATCTCTTAGGTATTCAAGACGCGAAAGTATTGCCTAGTAATTTACAAGAATGAGACGGGGGAAAAAATTAACGACATCAGAAATAAAGCATATTCTTGAACTGAAAAGGCAAAATTGATCAGTATCTAAAATTTCGAAAATAACTAGCAGAAGTCGAAAGGTAATTTATAATTTACTTAAAAACGTGGAAAATTATGGTAAAAAGAAGAGTAGTGGAAGACCATCATCGTTGTCACAACGGGATAAACGAACTGTTTTGCGTATAGCTTCCAATACCTAGTGTACAACAAAACAAATCATGCAAAAGGCTGGCGTCAATGCAAGTGTTTCAAGTGTTCGTCGTGTATTACAATCATGCAAGCACATTAGAAGACTAACAATAAAAAAGAAACCTGCATTAACTCCACGGCACAAACAAGAACGTTTACAATTTGCCAAAGATCGAATACACTGGAAGAAGAAGTGGTGAAAAGTGATATTTTCCGACGAAAAAAAAATAAATTTAGATGGACTTGATGGTTTAAACTATTATTTCCACGATCTAAGAAAAGAAAAATTGTCAAACATTGAGCGAGCAATGGGCCGTGGTGGAGTAATGATGTGGGCGACCATCGGTTACTTTGGTAAGACGGAAATAAAATTTATTCATGGAAAAATGAACAGTAAATATTATTTGGATTTGATAAAGCAACAAATAACAAAGCATGCCCTACGTATATCTGGGTCTGGATTCATTTATCAGCAGGATAATGCAGCGGTACATACTGCAAAACTTGTAAAAACCTATTTTGAAAAAGAAAGGATACGTGTTTTATCATGGCCTGCGCGTTCACCGGATATTAATATTATCGAAAATTATTGGAGTCAACTCAGTCAAGCAGTTTACAGACATGGGAAACAATACGAGAATGTCCACGAACTAAAAGAAGCTATTGTCGCGGAATGGAGCAATTTAAATCAAGAAAATATTCAAAAATTATATAAGTCGTCACCAAATAGAATGATTGAAATCATAGAAAATAAAGGAGGATGTACTCATTATTAAACAATTAATGAATAATTATATAGATTGATAATAAATTAAATAAATGTTTATTGCTTTATAAGTGTGCTATCATTTCGTCCTTCGTATACAACACTGTTTCTGTTTTGTAAACAAAACGCCGTGATGCCGCGACATCTTTGCAGCGATCCGCATGTGCTGAGCTCGTAAGCTTACTATATTATGTGTTACAAACCCAAAATTGTACGCGTGTCAGTGAGAAATTAAAGATAGCACACATGTGCTATCTTTTTGGCTGGGAGTGTACGTACCTACAAGGTAAGGGTGAGGAGGTCCGAACCTGGGGGGGAAAAAAGTTCGAGGGTTCTACCAGGTATTTCACAACATACTAGCCTTAGTTTTTGTCAAGCTGCTAAAATACTAAGAGCACAACCTTAAAAGTGGATCTGAGAGAGTTATACC